TCAGAAGGAGAGTCAGAGAGAGCTTTGTGCTGAATGTACTTTCATCTGGCTAGTCTCACACCCACTCTGTTTGCCGATGTGTTGTAGTGGGCTCTCTGCAGCCAACGCGGCAGTCTTTCAAACAACACTGGCTGTATTCGGGGAGGGGGGGCTGAGAGGGCTTACTGGTAAATTGGCAGCCCAGGGAATACAGGGTACTCTCACCCCGGCGCTCACCCACTCACATGCTTTCATTCCCCTTTTTACCCTTGACCATTGACTGTCTGCACTCCCTCTTACTGGCCAGCATAAATCCGCTTTCCTAGTGTGTCAACTGCTCATTGTCTCTTGTCTTCTTCTGTTTCCTCTGCTCTGGTATTTTTACCTTCCCAGAGCTTGCCAATTGAGTCCCAGCATCACTCATTCGAGCAATCCATCTCTCTTAAGTATATCCTCGCTTATCTGCGTGTCTCTTACTTTTGATTAATAAGACCCTCACTCTTCTGGCTAATTACATCCTTCAACAATGACAGCGAATCACAAAAGTGCTGGAAAAAAAAAAAAGAAGCATGTGTGCACACTGGGGTTCATGCATGCATGCACTGTAGGCATACTAACCAAATCTGTTTGAAGTGTGGGACCCTAAAAGAAGAGAGGGCTCCTGTATGCATTAAGTATTCATGTGACGTGTTTTGAGGTGCATACATGTGTGTGTATGCGTGCGGGTATAGGGAGAAAAAGAGTGCTGGCAAATTGCGCCGCAAGCACCCAGCAATCGAGCGCTGACACCTCGTCTGGCAGTCGGAGGGAGAAGGGGCTGGGCTGAGGGAAAAAGGGGAGAGGGAGAGGAAGGAGGAGGGATTGCATGTGTGTATGTGAGACAGAGAGAGGGAGGGAAAGAAGGACACGGCAGGACAGCTGCCAGAATTTCTCCGATAGCAGGAGAAGGACCAAGAGGTGGAACAAGAGCAGGAATTCTCCTTCTTCTCTCAAAGCCGAGCCAGGAGTGGAGAATCCCTTCCAGTCCTTCTGGCTGTGGGGAAGACCGTCGGGACGTTCAGCCGCACTCAGCAGACAGAGCGTGTGGGATTAACTCCATGACAGGAAACAGTGCAGCTTGTGGCACGAGAGAAGACTTGGATGAAGAAACGGAGAGGGGAACTGAACTGCTTCAAGCTGTTTTTTTAAGACCGTGAAGTGGTGCAGAACTTTTTCATGTGGAAGAGAGTTGGGGATGTTTTTTTAAACGGGTGCTCCACCTCTCTTGCTTCCTCTTTGGAAACTCTCTGGATTTCACGCACCTCTCTCACCGTTGCACCTATCCTACTTTTTCTTGCAGAGCGGTCATCCCTCCTGCCCACCTCATCTCTGCCCCACCTGCCGCTTGTTCCATTTAGTTACTATGACGCCCACGCCTCATCCCGATCGTCCGCCCTCCACCCCTCTGGCGCCTTACAAACCTCTGTGAAATCAAGCGGAACCTCAATGATTGCGATCGGAGTAGGAAGGAGCCCCGTGCCCTGACTAGTGAGCAACCCCCCTCCTCCTCGCCGTGTTCTTGGCGACTGCGCTGGCGTAGCAAATGTGCAAATAATGGAGAACAGTGACGGCACAGACACGGACCTCAAAGTTGATCTGAATCAGTTGTCTGTTTTTTGACTATGAGCATAAACTAGATGATGGATTGGAAAGAGCTGTAAGTACATGGCTGCAGCACATTCTCACTGGTGCATGTTAAGCAAATGTAAATAAATATACTTTGAAAAGAAAATTGAGAGATCTCAGGTATTGGTTTATTCAGGGTGACATTCTGCTTTGAGAAGTTGGAGCAAGTTGTGTGTGGAAACAGCTTTACTTGCATGGAGATTGAGAGTGAACAGGTGGATAAGCTGTTGTGGGCAGATGACATCTGAGCCGCTTCTCGCCACCTTTTTCCTGTTCATAGTTGGCATAGTTGGGTGAGGCGAAGAGAGGCAAAGATAGGAAGACGGGAGAGGCAGAGAGGCAAAGAAGCGGTTAATTAATCTCAAAATGTGGATGTGAATCTGTCTCTGCTTTCATTCATGAGCACACCTGCGCACCGACTGTCATTGTGCAGCATCAATTAAACTTCAAGGTTACCCTCTCGGCTTTGGGATGTAACCGCCCCTCTGTGGTCAGGACAGTTACAAATCATTTTGGTGCCCTTTTTCCTGTGCAGTGTCTTAGGCTCACATTTGATTTATTCTGCTGCTGGAAGAGAAACGACAGAATGGGGCGAGAGAGACAGACGGATGGGTTTCTCTTGAATGAATGTGTCGCAGAAACCTCCCACATGTATACCCATGCATGCTGCAGCATGCAGCCACGTGGACTCCGGCGTAGTTTCGCCTTCCCTTTTTTTCTGGCTCACATCCATCTCTTCCATCTAGTCTTTATTCATTTTTTTTTTTTTTCAGTCACATGATCCGTCTCGCATGCTATCGCACATAGGCAGCTCCCCAGGGAGACGCTTCTCCTGCAGCCTTCTTGGATGCAATAATTATTCCATCAGCCAGCAGCGTGTTCCATGATTGTGCTCTTCGGCTGTCGCTGTAGGGGGTGTTACAGTGAAGAGGGGAGTAGTTGAGATTGGGGGGGTTAGATTGTCACTACAGGCAGACAGGAATGGGAACATGGTGAGGTTTTTGGCAGCAGACCACCCAGTTTTGTCCAGAGGAGCCCAGAAGAGGAGTAATGGGCTGAGACTGGATGCTGAGGAACTCCTGCTGACTTGGAGACGTGTAGTTTTATTTCATTTTGATCACTGCCTTTCCTTTTTTTTAAGAGTGCTGCCTCTAAAATCTAGGAGTGCACCGGTCAGGCGTTTCTTGGCCTAGATCAATGTCTGGCTGTCTTTATGGCCTGACCTGCTGTAATTCATAAAAGAAAAAAAAAATGTCCTTAAGGTTTTGAATCCAACACAAAATGAAAGAATTGCACAATGCCGAAATAATCTAAAATTAATTTTTAAATTTATAATGGCATCTGTTTTTAAGAAGATGCTATTATCTGCATTAGTTCAATTATATTAGCTCATTAATTAGTCTAGCTTAGGATGAAAGTGATGCCTGGTGCTCATTTCTTCATGGTTGTCTGTTTCTTGTGACCAGAAATGTTTCAGAACAGAAAATTTTGTCTTTATTGTAAGTGAGACAAAAGTGGAATATTCTTCTTTCTGACGGACAATATAAGGCAATAGGTGAGGGAGGGGAAAGTCTACATCACACTGTCCTCCATATAATATCTTGCGAAATGTTATCTATCACACTAACTCCTTAGGCAATTATGCTATTAGGCTAACGATTTGCTGTTTTATCTCAGATAAATCAGCTTAGGCGTAAGAACAGTGTGACGGAATCAATAGTGGTTTTGAAAATGTAACTTTTTTAAACCTCGGTATACCTGAACATCGTTAACTAGCTCAAGCTAGTTTATTGTTCCTTTTTTTCAATCCTATATACTAAATTGAGCTACTTGTTCCTTCATGTTAAACAATCACTTCTTTGTCCTCCCAGACATTCTCTGAAATCTGACTGCTTAAGACCACTTGAGTTCATCGGATCTTCCTGGGAGGCGTGCTTTATATGCCAACATTGAAATGTTGGCTGATGAGCTTTAGCTGATAGGGGCAATGCATTAAATCCCTTCAGAAAAATATGCTGGTTCTTTTCCATGAGCTGCAAAGCAGAAATGAGTTCGATACCTTTTTCTCACGGTTGGAGTCAACATAGCAGAATCGCCAGGTGTCCATAAACTTGTTCACCTATCAGATGCTCAAAAATCAGGAATGTGGCAAATTTCTGAACAGCGATTTTGTAAAGCTCTGACCTCCTGTTACCAATTTTACTTGGTTCTGATGTCGATTTAAGGATTTTACAACATTAACTTCTCTATTTTCTTAAAAACAAATCAAAGTTTGATAGCTTTCTCTCTCTTTGTTAATAAAAATCTACAAATGCAGTTAAATGTAGTAAAACAAAAATACTGTATCACATATTTACCTCCAAAAAGACTATTTTTGTAAGTATTGTAATAACCTTTTAGGACGGGAGGAGATATTACACTGTGTGTGTGAAAAAGCTCTGCAGTTAAACTGGATGTACCTATTACTTCAACTTGGCTGTAATACCTTGAGCTGTTCTTGTCTCCTGATGTTCAACTCTATTGTGATAGCCTGAATGAACAATGGACCCAACTCTGCAAAAAAAAAAAAGAAGAAAGTAATAAACAGGCTCCTTTTGTCTCATGTCTGACTTCATCTCTAAGTTTTAAACTCATACTGAAAATGGCAAACTTTTAGTATTTGCACTGAAAAATGGAGAGTTTTCAGATGAGTATACCAAACCTATTGCCAGGTAAAACTCTAATACGTCCGTATTGTATGACTTCATGTAAAGACCAGCTTTGGCTGCATAATTAAACGCTCCTAAGGAAAACTCATTCTTCTGCTGTGACTTGAATGATGAATGAACATGCTCTGTCACAAGTCCTTAGCCATCCTACAGTTACTAAGGCGACATGCGTTTCCCATCTGGTTGTCCTTCAGTAGTGCTCACCTGGCATGTCCATGGCAGCCCGGCTGTGTCTGATCAAGATAAGTGATTAGATTTACTTTGTCTTCCAGCTATGACAGCCTACATTTAGTCCCCAGTGGACTGAGAAAGTTGACTGGTGATGATTTATATCATACTGGTGTAGTTTAAACAATGATTTTCAGCTGTCGCTGATTGCTAATTCCATGTGATGAAAGAATATAAGCTGGGAGATTGGAAAATAAGTGTGTTTTAATTATGAAAGGAAGGGAGTGGTTTCTTAGAGGAGCAATTTTAGCGGTTTTGTGTATGTTGGCAAACTAAAAGGGAAAGTGTTCACCGTTATGGAGGTGGCGTAGTGTGAGCACTTGGCATGACACCTCACAGAAACAAAGATTTCCTTAAGCATAACCTTTCTGGCTCGCTGGATCTAAACTTACCTTCATTTCCTATTTTTCCTTCTTTTAGGGCAGCTCAGAAGCTTAACCTCTCCTCCAAACGGAAGAAACACCAACCCTCCCTGCTCCACCCACAGGAGCCCTCCATCTACCCAACTAATTTCAGTGGCATCCTGCAGGTCTCACCACCCCCGACTCCGCCATGTCTCCTCCGAGCCGTGTCCAAAGTGAAAGAGAACCCAGGGATGGGAAAGGTGAGAGCATGTGCACAGAAACACATTTTTCTACCCATCATGCACACTGATGTATCCTTGTCCTCATATCAACATCACACACACACAGAGAGACCCCTGTTTGAAGGGGTGAAATGCAGAGTGGAGACAGACTGGTCTACAGGCAGCATGCCGTCTGGTCCAGTTCATGCAGATTCAGTCAGATAAGCCTGCTGGAATGCCATGAATTCACTCAGTTTGTGGGACCAGCATTCCTCTCTCAACACCGAAAGCCAGTAAAAGCTGTAATTCACATATCTGTGGTCACCACAACAGCGGGATTCCTGAATCCATTCTACATGTGGTGCACGGTGATGAAAGTCGGCCTGGCAGCTATAGAACAGTCATTAAACAAAGCTGTGCAAACAAGTTGCTCTTCCTTTGAGGTTTATTGGGTATTGTTTGTCTGAGCCGACGTCCTGTATTTATAAAGCAGAAGTCCCCCGAACAAGATTAGATCCCACCTGGATAGGAAACCCTTGCTTCTGCTGCCAGGTATCCAGACGGTTGAAATTTTGCCTCATGTTGTAAATCGCCTTTCAACATGCAGACATAATAAAAAAAACAAACAAAAAAAAGACTGTTATTAGCAATCCTCTTCAAGTCCAAGCAAGATCAGTGGTTTACATCTGCTCTGCTAACAGGACAGTTGACGTTTTATGAGATTTTATGATCCAGGCCTATCAGAGTTACAGCTTTATCTTGTTAGTGAGCCAATACACCAATACACTCTCGTTTCTTTGTTGCCATCCAGAAATAACTGTTTCCCTTGCCCTCTCCAGCTCGACTTTGCCTGCATCTGGTTTATATCAGCAGCTCTGCGACACTTGAGTTGAATGGCTGGTTTCCATCAGCCATATATAGGTCACTTCCACTTCTCTGCTTCTTACCTGCAGACATTTATATATGGAGTCGTGCCAAGCAACACAAATGGATTTCAGAGAGGGATCAAGGTGCAGGGAAACCAAAACCATTAGCAGTGTGTTAAAATACTGTGGCCTTTAATATCTTTAATATTACTGCCAACATAAATAAAGCTGAGGCATTAGCTTTAATTTTTCTAATGACCTCAGCAGTCATATGTAGAAAATCAGTTTGAAAATCATAGCAAATGTAATTTGGTCTTTATTTGAATGTTTCTGTAACAAAACAATAAGATTTGAATAACAAAGAAAGTTTGATCTTGGCAAAAGAAAATTGAGACGAAAGTGCCTTCCAAAAGATACCTGTTGAACATTTGTACAAGTTAACTGGTGACGATGCATAATTTTAGACATCTTAACAAAAAAATAAAATAAAATCCGACACTTGAAATATTATGTTGTGAAAAATCACTTCACATTACTTCATGTTGCTTTTCTATGAAACACAATGAGGTTTGTGGTTGTAGTGTAACGAATGTTTTCAGAGTTTGGATACTTCAATAAAGTGCTGTAACAACATCCAACATTTGAAATAACATTTATGTAGAAATCCTGTGGAATCCCCAGGCTGAACAAAACGGCCTTCAGCCAGAAAAAAAAAAAAGTTATTTTAAAGGTTTTGCTTCAGTGCCAAAGAGAAAACACACTTACTTTAAATGAGTCAGGACTGATTTGCATCTTAAATAAACTGCGGTGTATAGAGACTATTCAGATAATGTAACACTAAATGCTCTAAGAGATGAATGGACTGTTAAAAACATTCCCAATAGTTGTTTCTGTCACCCGTCAGTCACAGATATGTTTCCACACTGCCTTTGGAGAAATGCAAGTGAGAAATATCTGACCATCAGATTGTAAAGCAATATGGAGCTGTCCGGATTTCTAAAGAAGGGGTTTTGTAAATTGTAGTGTTTCATATCCAGACAGGTTCAAACACAGCCAAACAAACCACACACGATGTTTCTCTGCAGCAGGAAATAGTAAAATCCATCTGCTCTTGTCTGGAGGAGGTTGAACTGCGCACCACCAGCAGATTGGCTCCACTCCTGTGACACGAGCTGTCTCGTCAAAGCCACGCTCAGTCAACGCTTTAATGCATGGGTTGTCATCGTTTTCAGTTTTCCATGCTGGCACGATGAACCGTATGCTGACCTGTGGAATTTGTTGAAACCGTGAAGCCCACTTGATGAATGTGAAGCCGCAATATGCAGCTGGGTGGCTTTCAGGCTTTTTAGCAGTGAACTGGCTTTTTCTGTGCAACTGAGGGCAAGGACAACAGAAGGAGGAGAGTGAGTAGGTGGAATAATGGAGGAGGTGGTGGAGGGTGGGGGGCAGATGCTGGTGCGCTCCCATGCTGTTGAGTTGCCTGCGGTCTAGAAAAACAACCTGGATTGGGATAATCCCACAGCAGGGCGTTTCACACACATCAATTTCCACCGTTTTCAGCTATGACTTTCAATACTCACCTTGGTGCCTTTTACTAACACCATTAAGCAATGTGTTGACCCATTGAGTTTCCCAGTCAATGCAAGACTGAAAGTTTCCATGGTAACCTGAGATATGGTTCAGCTCTGAAATAGTCTACATGGCGTCGAAGGACCCCTGATGCAAAATACACTTAGACTGCTGTGACTATAGCTTTCCATCGACGGTAACATTTTGAATCGACAAAAATGCGATTTTTTTGTCTTAAACTTTAAATTAAGATTACAGCTTAAGAGAAAAGTCTGGTATTTGTGTCTGTGTGTACCGCCAGTGGCTGACAAAGCTGAGAGCCTATATTTTTTTATTTTCGTTTTATTTATTTTTTTATTTGTTAATAAATTAAGAGTGTATATACGACTTTTTTGTTTTTGTTATACAGACATACGCTGTGCATACATTTTGTAAAGGGTGGCATCTTGTTTATATTGTTTGCAACATGCATAAAAAGGAAAAGGTTTATTGTGTAAAAGAAAACAAAAAATGTTTTTCTGAATACCCAATTTATAAAAAATGAGTTAATGAATGAATTAAAAATAGTCACATCCCACAACGCATTCAGAATGCTCACTATGTTTTTTCCTCTTTTTTTAGATGAATAAAGGTTCTTAGACTAAGTTTTTTCTCCACCTTCACATTGAACAAGAGACAAATCTCTGCTGACTCCATTTCCTCTTCTCTGTTACATACATTTTACACTTTCCCACTTTCTAATCCAACCTTTTCCCCTCCTGGTTTTTGCTTATCTTTCTAGGTGAAAGTGATGATGCGAATCTGTCCGTCTCTGGAGGCCGCGGACTCCTCAGAGTCTCAGTCTTTCTTAAAAGTTGACAGCAGGAAAAAGCAGCTGACCCTCTACGACCCCGCATCCAGCCCGCACTCCAGCTCAGGGCACAGGAGGTCCGCCACTGTGGCCGTCCCAAAGATATTTGCCTTCGATGCTGTTTTTACCCACGATGCCTCACAAGTAAGAGCCTCTATGTATGTTCACGTGGGTGTGTTTTTTTTAAGGTGTTGGGTGGCAATTTAGCCTCTCAAGGACGAAGGGACAATCTTTATGTTTGCAGGGTGTGACCAGGGGCTTAGAGAAAAATGCCTGTCTTGGTTCAGGGGGCATTCTTACCAGTGTGAGCCCAACAGCTGGGGCTTTTAAGCTGTCCGAGGAATGATTTGAATCCACTCCGTTTATATCCAAACTCTATATCTAACCACACAACTCCCGCTGAGACACAGAAAAAAGGTCAGCATTATATTTACTGTATTGCAGAAGAGGATTAGACGAGCGTTCTACTTGGCACAGATTTGCAATTTAACATTAAGATTTAGATCACCGTTTATTCTTTTATTCATTTTCCAAATGGCACAATAAACTCAAGTAAAGGAGGTTGTGATTACTGGTGTAGAGGAGCACATCCTTAGCAGAGAGAGCCCCAGATCTTCCATCATACCACCTACATGGAACAATTATTTTCCTAAGTATGGTGCTGATAGCTGAAGTCTAACTGTTTCTGCTGCAGAGCCGAAGCCAAGTTGCTGGATTGTGCCTCTGGGACGGCTCTGCTGGTGGCTAACAGCTACAGCAAGCTGTTCAGCTGTTACAGGTCTTGTTTGCTGTGTGATGTATGGTAAGGGCCCACCGCTCCCAGAGGGCCGACGCTGAAACAAAAATACACAGTGCAACCTTCGCAAACACACACCTGAGTAATAGGAATTCTTCAAATGGTATCTATCGTCATTTTTACAACTTTTCCATTTCAGTCCTGATCAGGCTTTTATCTGCTTGGTAAAAAAAAAAAAAAAAAAAAGAAAAATGTGTAGAAAAAAATTTAACTGTGTCATGAACAGCTTTGTGTCTTCTTCTCCTGGCCTGGAGTTGATGCTTTCCTTATATGAAATATTCCAGCAAAAAGTGTTTTGAAGAGAGATCTTGCAGGTGATGAGAACTCCATTTTCTGCAAAGTTAATATTACAGCAAAAACAATGTTCCTTTCTGAAGGTTTGCTTTTAAAACTGGAAATAAATGTGTGTACTACAGCATTGCATCAGACAAGACAGATTATGGTGGGACATCATCCATGTATGGTTCTCACTTTGTGTTTTAAAAGTAGGCGTGGCCACAACGGCTTTTTTGTTGTGAAAAAGACATTTTTAAAACTGGTTGATTGTGCTTCATTTATGCTTTATACGTCCAAAATCAACATGCTTCTTGGCTCCAAGACATGGTATTTGCCCTGTTTTATTTTATTGTTTCAGATGTGTCGTTCAGCTAGACTTTGACAGTGATGGGCATATGTTTCACTCTCTCACAGGCTGAGGTGTGCTCAGGGACAGTAGCTGAGGTCATCCAGTCTGTGGTGAACGGTGCAGACGGCTGCATCTTCTGCTTCGGCCAAGTCAAGCTCGGTAAGCTCCTCCACCGGCAACAGATTAGACAACACCCTTTGTTGGTCTTGGGGAAAAAAAAAAAAAAAAAAAAAAAACTCTCATTGCTCTTTGTTAGCTACGCTTGATGTCCACAATTGGCTTAGCAGTGCACTGGGGTGAGTCAAGGAATAGGAGATTGGAGGGAAGAAAGAATTGGTTTGAGGTGAGGGGGGTTGAGGGCTAAAGTGCTGCGTACAAGCTTCAGGGCTCAGTCTCTAATTAAAATCTTAGTAATTGGTCCAGCCAGTCCTCCTAGGATGAAGAGCATGCTTCTCACTTGGTGCTGTTAGCTATAATTCTCCACAGAATGACTGCTTCTGGAATAAGTCCTTGGATTAGCATTTGATTTTATTTTAACTTTATGTTATCTCCGATGCCCCGCACCAGTCATTTTCTTTTCCTTCACTAATTGTTAAACCTTGTAACCTTCGCATAATTTCCAATGTGGTTTAAAACGCTCGCCAATTAAAGACAGCCGGCGTAATATTTGCAGTTTCAAATTACAAGCCTCAAAACACTACCTGCACCTCGCAAGGCCTCTGCATCCTGTTAGGTCAGAACCCCAAACCTTAATGGGTTGTATTGCGATTGAATGGGACAAACACAAAATCACACATAATTGCTAATTAGAAGGAAATTAACATGGGATTCAAGAATCTGCAAAGTGTGCATTTGGACTTTTTTTTTTCTTCTAATTATCCAAAATGTAATTCCAACCCAAGCAGCTGACTTTACATCTGAGATAAAATCTTGGGAGAAAACCTGTTAGGGGTTGAAAAACACTTAACTGAGGAGGAGGATTACATTCCAGCAAGACAACAACTCTAAAAATATGTCCAGAGCTACAATGGAATGGCTGTGATTCAAGTATATTCAAGTGCAAGAATGGTCCAGTCAAAGTCCGGCCCAAGATCTGTTTGAACATATCTGGTAGGACTTGGTAATCATGCCCACATATATCTTCCATGAAAATTGGGGCCTAAGCCAGTTTGAAAAGATGATTAGGAAAAATTATTTGTGCAAAGCTGGTTGAGATTGACTTATACTAGCTGCAAAGGTGGTGCCATACTTCTTAGATTATTAAAACAAGATTTAATTTCACCATTAGGCACAAATTTGTGTTGGTATGTTGCCTAAAATACCAATAAAAACGATTATATTTGCCATTGTAATGTGACAAAATCAAGGTTCAGAAATACAAGACATTTTATGTGTGAGAATAAATGTTTCTCGTTACATTTCCATTTTTATCCCCTTCTCTTTAACTCAACAGGCAAAACATACACCATGATTGGCAAAGACAGCTCCACTCAGAGCTTGGGCATTGTGCCCTGTGCCATTTCCTGGCTCTTCAAGCTCATCAACGAGCGCAAGGAGAAGACAGGCACTCGCTTCTCAGTCCGCGTGTCTGCTGTGGAGATCTTTGGGAAAGATGAAGAGCTGAAGGACCTGTTGTCTGAGGTGTCAACAGGCAGTCTGCAGGAGGGCCAGTCCCCGGGAATCCATCTGAGAGAGGATCCCATCTGTGGCACTCAGGTGAGTATCGCTACAGCTCTTCACTCTTCCTTTGTTCACTGATCCTTTCATTCTCTCCGTGGGGCCCAGCATTATCCGAGTATTGATCTTTTTCTCCTATGATCCACCTCTCCTTTTTTCCTCCAAAGAGATTTAAACTTTCTTGTTAGTGCATCTGTGCGAGTTTCTCCTTTATTCCACCTCTCCCAGGACTTCCCAGTTATCTGTCTCGATCATACTTCTTCTATCCATGTTTAATGTATAAGCCAAACTCATCTATGTTATTGATAGCTTTCTTCTCTCTCATGCGGACTCTCCTGTCAGCATCTATTATGGATGAATTAGAATCAGGCCTCTGTAGCACAATAGAAATAATACTGGGGGATGGTAAGAAGTGGATGTTTGAAGGTGTTCACAGGTGTGGCTGACAGATGTTGTTTTTGGGGGCAACTGTGGACTTTGACTTCAAAGGAAATGCAGTCCTGTGAAGCTCGTCTTCCTCTCGGCAGCCACGCGTGGGCTTCTGTCTGATCTCTTCTACCTTCATTCTTGTCCACCCCCCCTTTTTTTTTAATATTTGTACACTACCATCTCCTACCTTACCTCTCCTAATCCTCCTCCTTCTGTGCGCATATCTGCTGTTTTAATTGCCCCGGAGACACACTCTAATATATGCTGGGGTCCAATTAACAGGCTCCCATCCTTTTACTGCGCCTCCATTTTTGCACCTTGTTTTGCTCACCTCGCCACTGCTCTTCAACCCTGTAGCTCCAGAACCAGAGCGAGCTTCGAGCCCCAACTGCTGAGAAAGCCGCCTTCTTCCTGGACGCAGCCCTAGCCGCACGCAGCACCAGGAGGCCAGATGCAGATGAAGATGAAAGGCGCAACTCGCACATGCTGTTCACACTACATATTTACCAGTATCGCATGGAGAAAAGCGGCAAAGGAGGAAGTTAGTATTTCTGTAAAATCTTCAAGCCTCCAAGCTGACATTTGAGGCATTCACGTTGCAGTAAAAATGTGAATTTTCCTGCACCGCAATAGATTAAAAGAGTGTATTTGTCTTGAAAATAAATAATTATTTGATAACTGTTCATATGATGTGCTTGATTTAAGAATGAATGCCTCATTTAATATCTAAATATGGAATCATTTATTTAATTTATTCATTCATTAGAATAGATATTTAATCCTGATCTTGGTGGATTTATTATTATGTTTTACGTAACATAAACAACAAAGCCAGAGTTATACATTTTTTGGGAATCCAGCTGGTTGGATTAAGAGAGGTCTTGTTAGGTGTGATTCGATAGGATTTAGTAGCTTTGGATATTGTTTTAAACTTCTTCACAAACTTACTGATCCATCAACTGTATTCCTTTGTCTTCACAATGCTGGTCGTTCCCTAACTGAGTCACCTCAGTGGGAGTCTTTCTCCTAAACAAACCGGACAGTTGACACAGTGCCGTGTCGCTCCTGTCACTGTAACTGTAACCAAAAGGGGAATGTCTTTGTTCTGCTTACCTGGTTCCCCTTCTTCCATTGGCACAGTGTCGGGTGGACGGAGCAGACTGCACCTCATTGATTTGGGAAGCTGTGAGAAGGTCCTGAGCAAAAGCAGAGATGGAGGTGGAGGCATGTGTCTTTCCCTCAACGCTCTGGGAAACGTCATAATGGCTTTGACAAATGGAGCAAAACATGTACCTTACAGGTAAGAAAACCATAATTGATTATGGGTTTGTTTCAGTTGCATGGGTTGAAAATTTATTTGCCTTTAGACAGTATCTTTTCCTTGTGTAACACAAGATTGTAATAGTATTTTAAGTATTGAAAGATTAACAGTTTGTCACCTGGGAGCTTTTTTTCACTTCACGTATTAAGGACGCTTCCCCAGACAACACATCCGTTACTTTTGTCATTGCTTTAAAACATGACGGGGCCGCTTGCTAATAGCAACTTTAATTCATTCTCTAGGGACAGCAAACTAACAATGTTGCTGAGGGAGTCTCTCGGCAACATCAACTGCAGAACCACCATGATTGCCCATATCTCAGATTCCCCAGCCCACTATGCTGATTCACTCAATACAATCCAGCTGGCTTCTCGTATTCACCGTATGAGGAAGAAGAAATCAAAGGTATGCTGAAGATATGTTCTATATATGTAAGATTGCATTCCTTTTTACCTTTTTATTGCTATGGTATTTGCCTTTAAAGCAACTGATGTGACTTTTTTGTACATATGAAAAGGTACAGTTTGTCACCGATATAACAACATGTCATGGTCAGTTTTGTTGTCTTCTTGAGGTGTACATTTATTTTTAATCAAGATAAAATCTGCATCAACATGAGATTCTTACACATGCACCCATATCATACTCCATATCGCAGATTAAGTTTTTCTCAGCTCCTCTGCATGTAATCGATAACACTGCCCAAGTAAATGTGATTAGGGAAAGTTAATGAGGCCCAATAGCAGTCTGTATTTATTTGGTTGTGGTCCCAGTGATGATCATTATGCTGTTCAGATACAGCAATTTGTTTTACTGACATTAATTTCCATGTGTCTATTGATGTGTACTTTTAACCTTTAGATAAATATTGACATGCAATGTAAAATATGTTGAAATATTATAAACCCATCTGCAATCCATCATAACAGTTAAAAAGGTTTTGGAAAATAGAATGGTCATCACATTAATGTTTTAGACCAATAAAATGTCACCTGCTCTAATTATAACACAAAATGTTCATTGAGGGACGGCATCAGCCTTTGTCCCTACAAGCAGTAATCACAGGATACTAGTTCCTCTATAAGAGTGAAGGACGAACATCAGACTGTTCAAAAAAATCTTCAACTCTGTACACAAACCATGTACAACACTAAGTTACTTAAATGTAGGACTTGAAACTGACTCTTTGACAGAGCTCATCTTATTAGTAAGAATCCAAGGTCAGCTAATGCTAAAAGAAGCATTTTACAGCTTTCCTTTGAATCAGCTAATGTTCTTTATAATAGCAATCTTATATGTTTTGGTTTTGCTCTTCTTTGAAGTATGCATCCAGTTCATCTGGAGGGGAAAGTTCCTGTGAGGAAGGCAGAGTTCGACGACCACCACACTTAAGACCGTTCCACCCTCGGACAGTAGCTCTGGATCCAGACCTGCCAGCTCTGCTCAGCGACCCGGAATACTCTTCAAGTAGTGAACAATCTTGTGATACCGTCATTTACGTCGGACCTGGGGGAACTGCAATTTCAGATAGAGAGCTTAGTGACAATGAAGGCCCGCCTGCCTTTGTTCCCATTATCCCCTCACTTAACAAGAAGAGATCTGCAAAAGAGGGCCCTCAGGATAGAGACCAGTTCTTTAAATGCAACACATTTGCTGAGCTGCAGGAGAGACTGGAGTGTATAGATGGTAGTGAAGAGCCCACTGCCTTTGTCGGAGAAGGCAAAAGAAACCAGGCTAGCCCTAAAACAGAAAAATCCAAGGAAAACCAAGTCTGTAATTCACCAAAGACTGGAGTAAATCTTTACAACAACCAAGAGGGAAACTCAAGTAAACAATCTATCCCTATTCAAATATCCTGCAGTGCCAATGTTATACCCAAACTTGATGCCAACAAGAGGCACTGCATGTCTTCAGAAAGAGTGCCAGCAGAGACTGTCCAAAATGTATGCAGAACCAGTGCAGATGGTGAGAAGGTATTGATGTCTGAATGCCAGGTCACCACAAACAGATCAACACCTCCCATAGCCATAAGCTTGGAGCCTGTAGTAAGGGAGAAAGTTTATCCCAACAAGAAAGCCTTGCCGAAGCCAGCTCCACCTCCTTCACAAAAAATGGAAAATCCTGAAAAAGGAGAACGATCAGGCACCAGGATGCCACCGGTGGGAATGAGCCACCAAGCTGTTAAAAGAAGGGACCCTTGCACATCGCCTTTGCTCAGAGCACCTGTAGAGGTGTGTCAAGTGCGCTCAACTTTAAGGGAAAGGTGCTTGGATCGAGATATCCTTAGAGCTACTGTCACCCTACAGCAGCCAGTGGAGCTGAATGGGGAGGATGAGTTAGTGTTTACCGTTGTGGAAGAGCTCTCCATTGGCAGTATTGTAGATAAGGGTCGGCCATCAAGCATTATTAGCTTTAACAGTGACTGCTCACTTCAGGCCCTGGCTTCTGGTTCTAGGCCTGTCAGCATTATCAGCAGCATCAACGATGAATTTGATGCCTACACATCAACTGTGGGAGGATCTGAGGTCAACATTGCCATGGTGACACCCACCCAGGAGAGCACAATGGAGTGTATAGACAGCAGGGGATCGTCTATCAGTTCTTGGTTGAGTGAGGTCAGTGTCTGCACCTTGGAAAGTGAAGGGGCCCATTCAACAGATGTTTTCCTTCCACAGGCCCAACAAATAATGCCAGAGTCCACCTTTTACTTCGATTCCCTTGAAATGTTTCATTGTATGTCATCCACAAGAGATGCTAAGAGCTCCTTAAACGACAGTGGATTCAGTTTTTCTGAACAAGACAGTGACAGTGCCACATCAAGTAAACTGTCATTGACGAGATGCCCCCAATCCCCAGAATCAACCAAAGGGTCCCTTCGATTTACATCTAAATTATCCAAAGCTCACTCAGTGAGCTCCCCTCCACTTCCACAGGGCTCCTCAATTGTCCACTCTAGTCTTCCCAGGAAGATTAAACCTACCTCATCCATCTCTCATAGCAGTAGCAGTAGCAGCAGCAGCATTAGAGATCCACCGAGGCAAGAAGCTAAACAGGAGGATCCCTGGCAGCGCGTCAGCAACCACGCAGAACCTCAGACTTCTGACCCCAGCAGCACCAGCAGATTTCTCAGAAATCCCCCCTGTGGTGTCTTTTCCAGCAAAACATCCAACAACAGCAACAGTGTACCTCACCCTCCCAAGGTGCAGGGGTCTACCTCATCCCAGAGAGTGGTTGATGGTTGTGAAAAGTCAGCTACCAGAAATCCACCCAGCAGAATGCCTCAGCTGAGGCGAGGAGCCACCACCCTGGGGACGGTGCCCGTTATTCAATCCTCCTCTGATCACAAGGGAAGCCAAGATATTGTTTCATCTTCTGGAAGCCTTAAATTCTCTTCGCTAGGGAAGAACAACAAGGCTAACTCACAGAAAGCAAGTAATCTCCCCAAGCCTGGCTGCACCTCACCACCTCCTCCTCCAGTTAGGAAATCAAGCCTTGATCATAAGACTAAGATTTTGCTTCCCCAAAGTGCCTTAAAGTCAGCATATGGAGAGGCAGCAAGGACCTATGGGGGAAGGGCAGCTGTATCAGAGGATGAACTTGAGGTACATCGAAAAGCAGACTCTACCAATTTCAAAACCTCCAGCCTCAACACAGCCAAAGTTACCTCTAGCCTGAAGGCCAAAGGTTCTAAAGGAGAGGCTGGTCTGCATTACGGCAGCCAAATGTCACTTGAAAGGTGTGAAACCCTTTCTCTCTCTGGCTCCAGAGTTACACTTAGCAGGGAAAACAGTGGAGCAAGTCTGGGTAGCAAATCTAACAAGTCAATTCCAAGATTTGGTATTCCTAATTCATCTAGTTCTCCGATAGCTACCTTCCAATCTACTCAAAGTGGTGGAAACAACACAAAGCCAAGTCAGGCTAAAGCTTCTGTAAATACGAGAGCATTGGGAGCAGTTAATGGAAATAAAGCACGCTCACTATCAGCCAATAACTCCAAGGGCCTCAGCTCCTCTACTAAATCTTTGGCCTCTCCTGTGACCAGGAATACTAATGCCAACCTCCCGCCATCAGGACGAACATCAGGCTCTCGGACTACTGCTCCAGTCCCAAATAAACCTGGGAGAGGGACTATCATGGGCACAAAGCAGGCCATCAGGGCCGCAAACAGTCGTGTGAGTGAACTTGCAACGGGGAACATATCAGGAAAGCATGGCAGGGGTTCAGGAGATTCAGACAGTGGGAATGACAGTGGAGTAAATGTGGCTGATGACAAGTCTCCCACAGCCATGCTGCCTTCTCCGTACAGTAAAATCACTGCTCCCAGACGGCCTCAGCGCTATAGCAGTGGTCATGGCAGTGACAACAGCAGCGTGCTGAGTGGTGAGCTGCCTCCAGCCATGGGCCGCACAGCTCTGTTCTACCACAGCGGAGGCAGCAGTGGATATGAGAGCATGATCAGGGACAGTGAAGCCACAGGCAGTGCTTCGTCTGCCCTTGACTCCATGAGTGAAAGTGGGATGTCATCGTCAGGCAGAGCAAGGAGCTCCAAGTATCCCAAGAAAAGAGCTAACGGTAAGAAAAATCACAAATGTAATGGACGCACAGAGAATAACAGAGAAAAAACATAAGTCATTGGTTTTAGTCCACACAATGAAAGGCCATTGGTTGAAGACCACAAAGCATGCGGGAAACTGCAATATTGTTATGGACATGTCAAGTTTACTGCTAAAATAGCCTTTGGCCATCCTAAAAACATTGACAGAATATAGTAGTGATTCAGGTCAAAATAAGACATAAAAACTTGTGCTGAGTTTAATTTTTTGTGGGATTGAATAATGCAGTGATGTCTGTAAAAAAGACAACAGGGCAGCTGCAGCTCATTCCATATTTCTAATGCCGGAGTTCTAACCTGCACCTCAAAAATTAATCATATCTTATTAGTCTTTAATCACTGCCCTGGCTCAATCTTTTTAAAGTATAGATTTTTAAACCTTGTATATTGACTCCAAACGTGGTATTGAGCATGGCAGCTCATCCTTTAGCTGGGATGGGTAAAAACTGTTCACTCATTCAAACCAGTGCAACATTACTGTTTACTACTGCTTTCCTGTAAATACAGCTTGATTAGTTCATTTTTGTCTTGGCTTTTAATTTGTTTTCATTTGAAACAATTCTTCTTCAATGATGCTTAAATGTTATTCTTGTAACGTACTTTCTTTACCTGTGAGTCACTACACAAGCATTGTGTAAGCTTGCCTTGTCCTTAACCAAACATAGAAAATGCTTATCTAACTGTATGGTATGCATATTTTAAGGCTTCCAGAGAAGGCGGCTTATTCCTGCACCCCTGCCAGACACATCGTCCTTGGGGAAAAAGGTGGCCCCAGCAGGCCAGTGGGTGGACTTGCCTCCTATGTCTGGACAGTTGAAAGAGCCTTTTGAGATCAAAGTATATGAGATTGATGATGTGGAACGGCTCCAAAGACGGCGTCAGGAGGAAACCGCAGAGGTGAGCGGAGGGTCAATCCAGTCTGCTTGCAGCTCATGTTGCTAAACTTTCGTCATGTCTGGGTGAAGGGCTTGTGACTTCTGGTTGCTAAGCCTGTTTTGTAAGTGCAGCATTATTGCCACACATTCTCAAGATGTGCCACAAAGATTTATAGGACTTTGTGGAAATAACTTGAATCTTTTCCATCTAATTTCCTTTTAACAAGTAGGACAAGAATAATATGCCCCAGACGTTTGACCTTCAGTCAGCTCAGCAGCAAATCCTGGTGTTAAAATGTCTGTGTCCAGACTTTGTGCGTGGTATTTTGGTAGCATTCCCCATGAATGTCAGAAGTCTAGTGCACTGATAAGGGTTTCCTGATTTGAATGTGAGAACACCAGGGAGTTGTGTAAAAATCAAAGCAAAAGACGGACATTAATAGAGTGACCACGTGGGCATATGCAAATACATCCTCACTTTGCTAAAATCACTTCCAAATGAATTCTCCCGTTACGTAATCTTTTAGTAATTTGTTGAAAACAATAAATATATTTCTTAAAAAAACAAAACAACCTTGATCAAAAAATATTAACAACCAATTACACCGTCTTACACAAAACTTAATACACAACATTTTGTCATACTACAACTACGATCTTCAGGGTATTTTTCTGAGATTAGATTAAAATCTCTATTTAAATTTAGAATCTTTTATTTTGATATACTTCAATAAAATCCAGAAATCACCAAAATACAGTAGGAAGCCTGACCCTGCACTTCATCCATTCCTAAAGCGAAACAAGGTGGTGGAATCATCATGATGTAGCAATGTGTTTCTACAGCAGTATTAGTATACATGGTAATCATTTACTGATCCAAGTTTTTGTCTCAATTTCTTGCAGCAACCCTACCAAGAAGTTGAAAATGTACGCTTATTTTTTCATATTCTGTATTAAACAAATCTAAATTGATACTTCATTTAAAATGTAACACTTTCAATATGCAGTTTGTGGTCTAGGTAGACAGAAAAAGGAGATATACAGACTTGATTCAAAGTGCTTTCTTTACTGATTTACTCTTCACAATTAGAAACTGCTTGTTTACTCTCTCTTAATGGATTCTACAGAATCCTCTGGTTGCTGCAATGAATAATCCCCTTTTTATCCTGTTTTAGGGTCTGGTGTATTTTAACAGCAAGTGGAGGTTGCTAGAGAGAAGGCAACAGCAGGTGAGGGAATTAAGAGCAAAGCATCAAGTGTTGTTGGAGGAGCTAGAGGACACAAAGGTTCGACTAATGATGGATCCGAGCAAGTGGGTTGGAGAATGTAAGTCACTGTTACTTTTGGTGTACTGATATTTCAGTCCATAGCCTAAAAAATACATTTGTTTGAAGCCCTAAGACAAGGTCTCTTGTCTCAACAGTTGACGTGGACCAAAGTATGGATAAAGAGTCTCCAGACTACCTGGAGGCCTTGGCGCAGGCCACAGAGGAGTTGGAGTTTTGCGTCAATCTTTGCAAGTCCCACGTCATGATGGTGACTTGTTTCGACATCAGCATGCCGTCGACACCCGGCACTCAAGAGGGACTGCGGGAAGTTGAAGTCTGAGGACAAAAGCAAGTAGGAATCAAAAAGAAAGTGGAAGTGAGAAGAAAAAGGTAGAAGAGATGTAGCAGTCAGTCTATAGATATCACTGGAATGAAGTACAAAAGAGACGGACAGGGGACAAGAGCAGAGCTTTCCTGAAAAACATAGGAGATCTCGACCATGTGAGCTACAGTGCCTCGTTGTCTAGGACAGAGCAGAGGAACGAAGCGTGAGCACAAACGCTGTTGTCTTCATGGCAAAGCAGTGGCTATCACTTACTGAAAAGTCGACAAACACCCTGAAGTGCCTTTTTTTAATGTTCTTTTTGAGTCATTATTTTTCATACAACGCAGGTGTTTTAAGCATACCTGAACATAACCCTGAACATGTTGCTTTTAAGAAAAAAAATATTTTATACCGCATTGTATAGTGTATTTAAATGAATGTGTGGTGTGTACAATTAACCTTTTTTTAAGTGGGAAAAATAAAGAAAAAATAAGAAGCAATAAGCTAATGTTATTGCGGTCCCAGACTTTGCCTTTTCTCTTGTTTCTAACCTCAAGTCAGCATTTTCCCCATTGGTCATTCAGCCTCTTGCGCCTTAAGTTCGATTTGTATTTCTGTAGTTTTCTAGACTTTCAAACTGGACTGTATTATTTCATCACAGACCGCCTTTCCTCCTGTCAGCTGGCCTGTAAAAACTCACAGGGTGGAAATGATTTGTTTTCCCTACAGTTGCCTTTATCATAATGGGTCTCTGTGGATCAGCTGGTGTGTTTGATGGCAAGCAAAGTTTATTCTAAGTGTGCTAACTGATGTTTATCTCTCTGCAAATCAGAAAATGAAGCCAAAACAATCAGAAAGGCACTGTGATGGACATTGAGAGATTTTTCCACCCTCAGTTGTGACAGTAGGTCTATGGATGCTCATCTTTGAGCTTAATTCCTCTGCAGATGGTTTGGACTATGTAATGTAAGACACAAATGAGACAGCACCAATGTGCCAGCCTCTTCCTGTACAGTATTTTTCCTAAACAGTGCATTTCCCAAGTGCTACCAAGCCTCAGTTCTATGCATTCCAGCACATTTACACTGTAACTACTTTAAGCAGCAACGTTAATCTTTATCTGAAACAAGACTGTTTAGAAAAAAACATGGCAACATTTAATAAGCACCTCCCACAATGACTAAATCTGCTTCCTCTCGTGAAAGGATGCAGAAATGGACGGTGATTGTAGCGGTGTCCAGCAAAAATCAATCATATCGGCTCTTTGAAGCCACCCAAACGCGTTTATGAATCAAATGGCTGACACACAGAGAAGAAGAGAGATCTGAGAGAATGATTGTTCCAAAAACATGAAAAACCAGACTGGCTATGATTTATCTAGGTGTGCTTGTTTTGTTTCCTTTTACAAAGATGTGCTCTCTCAGGCCCTCACAGAAGATGCTGCATGAGATTTTTTAACCATTTTTACAGATGATTTCTACTCTCCATTTTTACCATTCTAATTTTTTACAATAATTTCGGTTTTCACTAAGGAAGAGGATGGGCTCATGAATAAAAAAACAAAAAAACAAAAAAACAAACAGACCTTCTTTTCATAGATGTGATAATATGTAAGGTCTCGTTTCATATCAAAACCCATATTTTCTAAGATCTTTGTTTTTGTATAGGATTTTCAAACCTTGTGTATAGTTGTATGATATGGCAGCTTGTGTTTTTTTTCCCAGTATCTGTGAATAAAATGTTTCTTCTTACATATGTGAACAAGTTTGGTCATTTCATCATCCAAAATTGAAGGGCTTTTGCCAAGAAAATACAAATCCAGACAGGTGGAAACTTGGTTTACTGAATTACAAGAATTTGTCTTCTTTCACAGAATCACCTCAGATCTTATTAAATAATTAGTACAATTTTTTTTAAAGTGAGGTTATAATAATTTGTCACAGGAAAACTGACATGACGCTGGAAGAAGTAATAATATAATTTCTTAAGATTGGCCTTACAAGCCCTAATAGTTCTAATTTTGGGATAGGAAGATATGAACCTTTAGTTGGTTTGCCATCCGCCAATAAAATACAAGAGCCAGAAGAAGAGTTGGCAGGCAAGGAAATTCTTGAACGAATCCTACATCGGTTCTGTAAGGTTATTTCCGGGAAACAACAGAGAATTCAAAGTTAAAGCCCAAATGTTCGCAGCCAGACGAAGAATAAGGGACACAAAGTCTCATTTGTCGTGAGTGTGAAAGCTGTGGCAGACGCATTTTGCACGTACAATGCGGGTGAGTAATAACTTGTGAAATGCTGCTTAAAAAGAAACAGTAGCATAAAAAGGTGCTTAAATGTAAATACTGAAGTTCCAATACACATAAAATAATTACCTTTACTAATTGATGTCTGACTTGACTATCAAGTGACAAAAATGGGATGCTTAGTGTCAGTTACCTTCTTGCAGAGCAACATGTGGTAATTGCCTTTGATCAGTTTCATTCAACCGACTGGACATGAGGTCGACTGCAGGCCATTTCAAGCATTTTATTCCAGACTCGTTTGGGTTTTAGAAATGTAATAAATGGTATTCCACTCTCTACATGCTGTCGGCTGTCGGAGTTGCAGCCCGTTAGCAATGATGAACCACTGAGGCTCAGTTCCTAAATATAAGGGGCGCGTACTTCTTGCTTACAAACCTTCCACAATGATTGACCGGGGCCAATCATGCAAATTCTTGTAGCGTCTAACACCAGAAAGTATTTGCACATTTTCACTTCTTAAACTATAGACTTATTATTAAAACAATTTGATCTATAGTTTCTTTAAGCACATATATGCAAAATAGTGATATTACTTTTTTTTTTAAATGTTTATTTAGAACTGATGTTTGCTGCTCACAATGCACAAAGTTTCTACATTAAGAAAAAAAAAATAGCTGAACGTAAAAAAATCATTCCCAGGCATAAAACAAGGCAAGATGATTAACAGTTCAAGGAGTAATATTTAAATTCAAAATTCCACCAGACCAAGAAATTTTAATCGGTTAAGTACAATAGTGTGCAGTTAATTCGAGAGACCTAAAGTATCAGTATTTGAACTAACTAAAATAGTGTCGCTGTTTGAGAAAAGGTCATCTCCAGAAATCTTCTCCAGTTTGTTTTAAAGTGTGTTTTTATTTCAATATGTTAGCTATAAGCATAGAAAGAAGTATTCATTTTATAGAAACAGAGACGTTAGGAAGATCACAGAAACCTTTCTATAGAAGTATAAACTAATTCTACGATAATGCATTTATTAGCCATTCCCCTATAAATATCTTACGTTCTCAAACAAATCTGCATAAGTTGTTACTTTAACATTTTCTCATTTCCAGGGTTCAATGTGCTACAGGAGGTGGAATTGGTGGCATTTTCTGTACTTTTTTTTCTGTTAGCCTGAGTCAGAAGAGGTCAAATACTGAACTTACAAAAAGGTTGAATTTGACAAATGGGAAATGAGATTAGACGAGAAGGTGCAGGTCTGGGGAGATTAATAACTCTCTATCAGAACGACCTGCTGCTCAATATGATACACAAAGTCCTGTTCATTAATATACTGTATCTCTGTGGATAAATTCAGCTTGAAGCTTAATCCTGCTGTGCAATAACATCTTGCTTCCCCCGTTTTAATTCCATTTTGATCAAAACCCTGAGAGGTTAATTTGGTTGACTGGAGAGAGCAGCTGGTCACCATGTTTTAGATGCTGGGGGTGGCATTTTCTTTCTGGTTTAGTGAGTTTGGCACTTTTCCCATCATTGTGAAGATTGGCTCATTGTGTTGACAAATCGTATCAAACTGTGTGCAGCGAAACACATAATTTGCACTAGATATACATTTATTTCCAATTAATTATTGTTTGTCCCCCTTGTAGTTCGTTTCATTATCTTGTTGAACTTAAATCACAAAGTACCTTGCAAAAGTTTTCCCTCTTTAAAACTTTTTCATATTTTACAGCCATAAACTTAAATGTATTTTATTTGGGATTTATTGTGGATAAGATCAATACAAAGTAGTAGATCATTGTGGCATACATTTGTATTTTGCTCCCTTTATTATATCACTGACTAAAATCAGGTGCATTTGCTTTTGGTGGGCCTAATGAATATTTAGGCTTTGTGATTTTATGCTTGTATAAACACAGTTGTTCTGTGAACTCAGAACTTTGTTGAGAATAAACAGCATCATGAGGAAGAAGGAACAGGACTGAGAGGTCAGCAAAAAAAAAAAAAATCAAACAATAAAATTGGTTAGATTTTTTTCTTTTTTTTAAACATACCCAGAAAGTTCTTAAGTTTGTCCTAAACACAGCAAACATGTAGACAATGGTCCTTTGAATGGCTTTAAACGTGTTTGGATTAGATAATCATATCGTTTGTATGGGCACAAAATTTATTCAGAATAGAATCACTGACATGTGCTTCTATTTTCTAAAATAGTAAAAAATTCCCTAAAAAACACGGAAAAAGAAGTTGTTCCTCCGTCTGTGTTGAACCCCCACCCCAGAATAACCCAAAGCAGTAGTGTGTTTGTTCTGTGCCAGGTTCTAATAATGGTTGAGATGTTACTCCGCTCTCTAATTGAAGTACAAACTAAGCAACACATGCTGTTGGTCTTCTTGCATTATGGAACAAGTGATCTGAAGGAAATAAACATCCTTCAAAGTTCTGTGCTGACTCCAACTACTGCACTTCCCTCTGTATCGTTCAACTAGGTTAGTGTGCCGCAATCAGAACAAGTGTTTACGCTGTTTGGAGGCTTAATCGGCATAAACCACCCCTCTCATTTGGACTACAATTTCAGAATATTCCCACTGGGGCACATGACATATTTTTATTCCCATAGCCCGTTCATTCTGAATGCCCACGTAAACGTGCCAGTTGTGGTCAACATATAAAACCTAACATTCTGAAGAGACAAGCTCCACAATGAAATATGACGGGGGCAGCATTGTGCTGTGGGGATTCTTAAATTTAGAAGGACACAGAAGCTGATATTTGATGGGAGCATGGCAATCCTGTCCAAAGCTTCAAAAGATTTGAAACTGAGCCAGAAGTTCACCCTGCAGCAGGATATCGAGACTAAACTAGTGAACAGAGTTAGAATGGTCCAGTCAAAGATGAACACATATGCCACACTTTTTAGTTGTTTTTTTTTTTTTTTAAACTGTGATCACTTATTACTTTCTTTTACTTAATACTTACAAATTTGCTGAAAAATTGAGAGAAAATACAATGAAATTTGAGAATGTAACGTGACAGGATGCATAAAGGTCAAGGGTTGCAAAAACCTTTACAAGACAGTGTGTGTGCCAGAGTTGAAACAGTTGGCTGAGGCTGTTGCAGATGTTTTGACGGTCTCTGTCTGAGCACAGCCAGCCCCATATGACCTGACTTGCCTCAGGGCTCTTATCATTAGCGGGGGAGCCGGGGTGTTTGTGAGAATAAAAATGAGTTCACTGAAAAGTCAAGACCTCCCCCCCTACACCAACGTAGCACTAAGCAAGGGTTGTGATGCTCTAAATTATCCGACTATATTTTCTTAAGTTAAGTTTTTCTGTAATTCATTCAACACTCAGGTCTTTGTAACACCCTTATTTGCAGACTGTGATTTCCTTATTCCATTAAAGTCTCATTACAGTTTTAAGGCTGCTTTACTCTCTTTATCATGTCTTCAGTCAGATATTTTCGAAATGAGTTCGTTTTGCTTAATTGACGCTTCAAAGAAAATAACTTTCAGTCTCTGTTTTGCATATTTTTTTATTTTTATTTTTTTACATGCATTCCCTAATTATACATTAAATTACCTCATGTTTGGAGACAAATCTGCATCATGGCCCTCAGATGCATTTTTACGAGGAAAGCGGGCTTTTTGAACTCTCACTTCACCACACTCACTTTTAGTGGCAGTAGCTGGCTCAGATTGGGATTTACAGCTTTGCAGTCACCCAGATTGGTCTGAGCAAACCAGGCTCGCTCTTTGAAGAAGAGTCATAAACCTGACCACATGCTGCCACTTTTTCCACATAATTACAACAAGCTGGTGTGGAAGGGAGTCCTTAAATGATCAGAGGCTGGCCAAAACGTTAACCTCACACACAGTCTTTAGTTGCGCTTCGGGGGGGTCGTAACTATTGACATTTCCATCCACAAAGCAGACTGCAAGTGTAAGGGGTTTCGCAGAAACCTCGCCTGAAAGCTTTCCTCCGTCTCTGTTGTAAATTCTTTTAGGATGAGTGATCATTCAAATCTATTAACATGCTGCCACATAGAGTAAATTAAAACAATCTATTCATTGAGGATTTAATTGATTGGACTTTTTAAAAAATCGCCTAAACATGTTTGGTGTGTTTAATTCAACAAAACATCTAGATAAGGGAGGAGGACATTGCAGTCAGAAGCTGTTACACTGTAGATAATGCCCAGCTCATAATTTGACATATTAATATAAATTATGTGAATTAGCTCCCTTGTTTCCCCCGTTTGTTGACTTCCTGAGTCGTCATCCGGCCTATCTGGTTTGCACAATAATGAGAAGCAGGATGTGGGTCATGAGTTCAAATGGCCTGTAAGCTGCCAAGTTAATGAGTGTTTAGGTAATAAAGACGCTCACTCAGTGACACCCACACAGACCGCCACTGATGCTGTCTGACTGCGAACAGGCAGCACTGTTCTCTTGATAACGTCTCCTTAAAACTTCACGGAGATAAATCAGACGCAAGTGGGTTTGCATGGGATATTTTTAAACATTTCTTAAGCGGAGACAAGCGTACGTTAATTAAAACGTCTGCCGCAAACTTCTTTTTCATTGCGTTATAGTACATCATGCGCTGACCTTGTCGAAGAAAGCACTAACCTTGTTTTTTAATCTGTGCTCTGTGGCCCCCTGGTCCGGATCGCTTGTAGATAACCACTGATTTACATAAAGGCTTTGTTTTGAAAACATTGCTTTAAACTGCTTTCAGAATGCTGATGTTGGACTTTATGTGCAATGAATATTCATTGTAGTATAGGTTGGTAGCAAGTGAACACAAAAAATAAAGTCTGTTGGTTTGCCAGCGGTTTACTGTGTTTCAGAACATTGTCTACAGGTGAATTGATTGATGTTCTACTTTACTTTTTAAAAGGTTTGCAGATTAAGTTCCGAATAAACTGCCCGTAAAAATAAACTGACTGCTTGGATGTTAGCTGCTTTGTACACGGCCTTGAAAAAATTTGGTTTTGGTTTGACTTTTATTTTATGACCCGAGTAATATATCCATTAACTCCCTCTCTCTCGGATTCAGGCCATTTGGAAATGTCACACAGAACATAAAGTTTCTCTTTCTGCCAGTGATATGATGATTTATTGGTTTTATTTTGAACATTCATATGTTGTTGTATGTGCTGTCTATGCTTGTACACAAAATCTACTGAAAAAGTATTCTTTTAACTCAATCCTACTTTTTTTACGTTTTACTTTTAAAAGTCAAATGTAGACAAAAGCACTTAAGTTGGACTGAAAAGTAAGTCATCACAATAAAATGAGCCAGGTAAAAACAAAAATACAATCCAAAACATCTGACAATACTGACAAAAAAATTATAAAAATAATTTTTATTATAAAGACTTGATATAAATACATTACAACGTAAAGCACCTGCTAAATGGGTTGCAGGTGAATACAGTGAAAAAAAGCTTAATTAAATTGAACAAATACGTGCTTAAACTGTGCTGTAAAGCACAACATAAGAAATAATTGTCAAAAAAATCTAAATTTTAAAGATTGAGGTGTGTATTGTATTTTTTTTTGTATTATAACATGACTATCATAAACTAAAAAGATGGATTTTGGATTTTGTATGCATCATAAAAAGTCTACTCAACAGAGCATCTTTTCGAGGAAAGTCACAGATGCTGGAATTATGAGGTGAAAATAAATCCTAGTTAGAACTCATGCTGCCTCACTACCATTGGGGCTGATTTTCAATCCAAGAGATTTACTTCGCTTCCTTGCTGGGTTTCTCTCTTCTGTGATCTAATGGTAAAGCTTTTGATAATCCAGACGTTGAACACGACCTCAAGCTGTGAGCTCAGGTCAAAACACATTTCATTTTTTCCTGTTTCTCACTTAGTACCCTTTGTCAGGGGTGCCAAACTTCAGCCTTCGAGGTTCAGAGTCTTATGCTAGTGCAACTTTTTAAGTGTCCCAAATCCAACATGCCTCACTCGACAGACTGAATTATCTATTCATACAGTCAAGCTCTACAGAGTCTTGTTAATAGCCTAATTATGTGATTCAGGTGTGTTCATCTAAAAGTTGTACAACACCAGCCCTTTAGAACTAGAGTTTGACACCTCATTATTTCCTTTGTCTCCGTTAACTTTTTTTTTTTTTTAATACAGAGCAGATTAACATATTTTAAGGATCATCTGACCAGTTTCATTCATGTTTGACACATCCAGTTCGGCAGGCTACGGCGAGAGCCAGAAGATCTGTCTTTTTCTTAATTTGATCCTGAAAGTCTCTGAAACAGCTGGTTTTGTGTGCATTAGTTCATCCAGGAGGCATTTAGTGCTCATTTGATGACCTGTTTTGTTTTATTTTCTTTAAATAAGGTCTGGTCTCCTGCCTGTTTTAGCGTTGTCTCTGCTGCAACAAAACTGATTCACAAAGCTACATTACTTCCTCAGTATGTCATTAAGGTCTGCAGGGGCCTGATTAATAAGTATCATTTTGATTCAGGTGTGTTGAACTAGTCTAAAATCTGCAGGATACCAGCCCTCAGGGAATGAACTTGGACACCACTGCATATAGTCATAAAATGTAGAGGTAAAATATTTAAACAACACTCCATACCAGTAGGTGGCGGTAATGATACTTAATGTTTTGATTTTTTTGTTTTGCCAACTGCCATTAAAAATCAAGAAGAAGAAGAAAAAATATTTGCTAGAAACACTGATGTCAAAAACTGTACAGTCAGTCATCCTATCAGGTTGTGGATGCTCAACAGATGTGCAGACATAAAGGGAGGGAAAAACAACTTTTTTAATTGATCACTTACTTTACAGCCAGCAGGCACCTCTGATCTTAAATTTTAGTGATCACCAGGAAGAAACTTGGCTCTCTTTCACCAGTAGGCACCATCTGGTGGACAACAGAACCTCAGCTTCAGGGGGCTACCCACACCCCGGAGGACGCCACCCAAAGACACAAGCAAGAGGCTGATCATAAAAGGTACTTACTTTACACTCTGAGATAATCCCATCATTTTCTGATTGTATATATTTTTTTTATGCACAGCATATTCTATCTATTTGTCTTGTGTTCTGCATTTTGATAGTTTTATTTATTTGAAACTCTTCTTCTGGCATTGTTTATCTCTTTTAAATAGCCAAAATATAAAAAAAAAAGTTATGGGTTTAATTGTCCCAGTGGAACCATTGGCACATGAATTCAGCTCCAAAAAAAAAAAAGAGTCTAAAAGGGAAGCAGGTGGTTGTAATGAAAAATTACAGTGGAATGCCAAGGAAAACAGTGTAGCTCCCAAAATCTGAAAAATAGTAGAGACAAAGAGTGTCATCTTATCTTACTTCAGGTTGTCAAACAAAAACAATGTTTAACGTATTTCCTTTAAAAGTGATTCTTCCTCTAAGTGACATTTGAAAGATTTGATAATTCAAGATTGTGTTTAAGATGTGATTGTGAGTCTTTTTAATGCTTTTGTGTTTTGGTCTGAAAGAGGTCTTTCCAAGTTAAACAATAAATTATCCTTAAGCTAAATTATAATTAAAACTGAAGTTATATTTGGGGATTATCAAAAGAGAAGCACTTTCTTGCTGACTGTGTAATGCACAGGAAAGTCACAGGATCTCATTAAGGATGCATTGCAATCTGTTCACACACCGGCCATAAAATACTTAATACATGTAAACTGCCTTATTTTCCACATATAGTACATTTTAAACGAAAAGCCTCATCGGGACGTAATCTGAAGTCTGTCAGTGACTCTTTATTTGTGAAACAATTTACCTAATGCAGATTGCTTATGGAGGAAGCCACCTGTGAAGGCTTTGAAAGATTTTTGGACACATTTATATGATTATTATTAAACATTCAGTTTTAGCTTGAATGATTTCAGTTTTTCAACATCTATTTGCTTTTTTGATCCTCATGCTTTCACTCCAGGACGTTCTTGATGAAATAAGACTTCAATTTAGGCCTATGTTTTGGTACTATAAAATAATTGGAATGCATATCTGTAACATTGTTCATGAAACATCGGATTTTTATTTTTTCCCCAGAGCTTTGATTGCTCTGTGAGGAACCTTTATGCATTGAATAAAGCTGTCTGCCAAGATGAATGGCTTCATACATGTTGACGACCTTTAAATGTGATAAATTTTTCCTCTCATTTGTTTTCTCACTTAGAAAATGAAAGCCAAATTGTAATGCTCTGTCCAGGGTTTAAAAACAGCAGCTGATGCCTGTGAGAAATTGCCAGATAACAAAATTCAAACAAGATAGTCATTATTTCTGTAGGGCAGATGTGAAACTATTTGTTCAATAACAATTCAACTTTTAAAAGAAAAAAAAAATTGGCTTTGCAATCAGTCTTTCCATATTGCATGAAGTTTTGTTATAATTCTCCAAAGACGCACATTATATTTAGCAATTATTTATACTTTAACAGTTCCTTGGAAGAGTAGTAGTAGCAGCAGAACATTTTCTGTATCCTTCAACAGATTTGTACCTCAATACAATCCTGTTTCAGAGGTCAGCAGAGAATCCGACGCCTGGTCTTTGTGCTTATATGCAGGTGAGTGGCTTTGAATAAACTCCAGTCAACTGAATATACTTGCAGATAGATTCCATTCAAGTTGTAGAAACAACTCAAGGGTGATCAGTGAGAACAGCTCAATTGTTACCTTCATGACAAAAGTTGTGAATTCTTGTGTAAATGTGATTTTTTTTTTTTTTTTTTTTTTTTTTTTTTTTTTTGGTTTTTGTTTTCAGAGGGGAATTTATGAATTTTGAGGAAAGATATTAATCTAATCTAATTTGGAATAAGGCTGCTACATATAAAGCTACTGTGCATCTTCAAATATTAGAATAAGTCAGAATTGTGCGTCGTTTTTGTCTGTCACTTTGTGCGAGTCGTCAGGCCCTTTCTCTTTAGGCACTTCCGTTAGAGCAGCGAGTGTCCCCTTCATTTGGTTTGCTGAGACGCAGTGTATTATCTGCAGACAGTTTCCGAAGCACCCCACTGGTGACAGCCCAAACACTGTCTTTGTGTTCACTCTCTGTCTCACACATTATTAAGAGTGGGATTGGTGCTGGTTGTTGACAGGAGCCTGTCAGGACTTGTAATTTCTCAAGTGGAATACATGCAACTGAAAGGGTTAATTACTCCAAAAAAAAAAAAGAAAAAAAAAAGACCCCTTCTTGCCTCACAATTCCCGTCGCAGCCAATCACGTCCAAGACGTGTACAAATCAAACGTGTGATGGCAGCTCTGCTGCGTGGCGACAGTTGCTGTGATGGAGGCTTGGCTGGCAGGATGTGCACGTCCTGCTGTTTGTCTCTTTGAGTTGGTTGGCAGGCTGGTGGTGCAGTCCCCCCTTTCTCTTTTACTGCTGTTCATTCATAGCCAGAGGATAATAAATGTGTTCTTTGAATTACCAACAGACTGCATCGGCCTTGCTTGTGTTTGTGCTTCATTAAAGCTTGGAGTCGTAAAAATGGAAGCCGTTTGTCTGCTGTTCAAACACTAACACAGAAGTAGGTTAATATTTAATCCAAGTAATTAGATGGGGAAAACGCAGTATAAACTGGGCTGACGATTGTTTATAATTGTGAGAAACTTTTTATTACTGATTTGATTAAGCCAGAGATGGCTTGACAACCTGCCTGAGGAGTACTCCTCCTCCTCCTCTTCTCCCTTTGCAGGTGAAGAAGGGTGTATGGCACCGCAAACCTGAAAGAATAATGGGGGATATGGAATATAAATGGAACCAAAAGGAGGAAGACCCTTTGCCTTACTGAGTTGCCAAAAGTTCAATGAGATTGTCAACATTTGGTTGGGAAATGTTTTTGTTTAGTTTCGGCACTGTGGAAGTTATGAAAACTTAAATCTCTAAAATACCATTGGTCGGTTTTCAAAATTAAGCAAAATGCTGATCAGCAACTATAGGAAGTGCTTGATTTCTGTAACACTTTTAAAGATTATTTTTATTGATTTGAGATTTTTTTTGGGATAAAATGTAAATAGAACAATCTATAAAATTTTCTAATGAGAAACAAACATCTTAGAGTACGCTCCTGGGAGATTCAGCTATCTTGACATTTTGTTAGTATTTGACCAATACTTTATCAAAACACTTAAATACACTATAGTAACTTTATTTTTTCGTGGACACATTTGGCTTCGGTTTTTCTTAAGCAAGCTTCAGAAATAATGAAGACAGCTGCAGGATTAATAACAGTCTGCAGAACGTTAAGGCACATACGAACTATGTTTGCTTCTTGGAGGAGACTCGCGGTTCTCAATGGCATATTTTAACCGTGAGCTGAATTAATATAAAAGAAAGGCATCAAGAAATTGATTCAGCATAAATGCGGTCACCTAGTAAATGTCATAATTTATGAAGTTTGCATGATGTAATCAACAAAACTTAAAAAGGTGTCAGTTTTTCTTTTTCTTTTTTTTTTAGTTGCCAGGACAAGACAAACTTTGATGATCTTTTGTTTTAGACCTTAAATGATCATTTTTAACCAAAGTGTTCATGTAGTTTAAATATTATGGTGACCTGCAGTCAAAGCTTGTTAATAACATCCATCATGCTGCTCTCTGAACTGCTTTTATGTAGTTTGCTTTAGACTAGTGTGACCTTTTTCCCTGCATCAGATTCACAGATGCATTTTCTCACATCAGGTGCGCAACCTGTGATTACGGCCGCAACGAGCAGAACTGCTTAAACAGGCAGATATGACCGTGACAGACTGGAATACAGCAGGGAAGGCATGCATTTTTGAATTGTATCTGTAAATTTGTGAATGACGTACTGTTAATGTGAAACAATAACTTTATGATTTAGGAATATCATAGACTCCGGGGATGACATTTATTCTACTGGAGGAACACGCTATTATTTTCCTTTATGATTATTTGCCTCTGTGGAGGCCCATATGGAAGATGGTAAAGTTTGCATATTCCCTGATGCATTAAGATCTGAGTTGCAGGAATTTTTTTTTTATTATATTATTATGCTTTTTATGTTCGATGCTACAGAATTTACATCGGTGATGCTTTGGGTGCTTGCCATGGTAAGAATAATTCTTACAGTAAACAACAAAATCAGCATTATATCACTGAAACGTCTGTTTCTTTCCCAAAAGAAGAAAAGAGCATTGTTCAGGAGGGCAATGGAGAGATTATGTTTGGTGCCAATTTCCCCAAGGTAATGTTCATTGTGTTTTAGTATATGTTGTTCCATAGCAACCAACATGAAAAGCTTTTATTGATTTTCCTCAGAAGCAAATTAGGCCTCACCCAGGAGCAGACATGCAATTCACTCTTGGCGGCTTTTGTTGCACCGTGAGCAACCTTCAGCAGATATTTCTTCTCCTCTGTAATTACCACAGGTTACCTGAATGGCATGTCGCAGAGTGAGCTGCCCTCATAATTACCTGTCAGCAGTTTTAAGGTTTTGCTCATTGATTAGATCATGATCGCTAACAGGACGTGAAATCTCGCTGTCTTGCATTTATATAGGTAACAATAAATCCAGGTTTTATATCACCAGCAGAGACTGCTTGCATTTTTCTACTCAAATGGGCAAAATAAACCATGCGGGAGAATAACATTATCGGAGAACAGCAGGAGATCTTTTCAGTTTGCTTGAATTTCTTTTTTTGCCGGATTTTGCCAGAAATATGACCACTGATCTTGGGCTAAATTTACTTCGGAGTTTTTAAAAGAACCTGAATGAGACGTACCGCATGTCAGTTCAAAGCAGATTTATCCGTGTAGTGTCGAACAATAAATGTCATCTGGAGACACTTTACAAAACTCGGCGGTCCAATCTAATAAAGTGACTACATAGGTCCAAAATCAGTTTAGATCAATCCATTTCATTCCAGTCCAATAATATAGTTTTCCAGAGTAAATTACAATAGAGTGGTACTCTTTCCATTTTCAGAAGGGTTAGGAATGCTTTTGCATGGTACTGTAAATTA